TTGACACAGCAAACAAAAATTCCCCATACGGGGGTTTCGGGTTCCAGTCTTTATTGGGTACAATTTAGGTTTTGAGAAATTTAAAATTTTCCCCAAGGATGGAAAAAAAGGTTTCAGGTCCCACTTGAAATTTCTTATAAACCCCAATCATCAAAAACCAATCGCATGCACATTTGTAAAACCAAGGCATGTTTTGTGTATAACCCAATCCCCGGTCACGGGTTTTTAATACTTTCTTTAAATCACTCGATCACTTTGCCACTGTCTTTTTTTTTCTTTACGGTGAATTTTTTTGTCCCCAATGTGACACCATTTGCCCATACAACCCCCTTTTTAATGCCAAAAAGTCATGGCATTAAACCCCTTAAAACTTAAACACCCGACACCTGCGTTGAGCCGGGGCCCTTTGGGTTTACAATTAGAACGCACTGGCCCCCCACACATCTGCTTTTTCCCACTCGTAATGAAACCCACTGGTAAGGGGGCCTTGTTTACCATTTAACCGGTATATAATGTATCCCCCTTTCATTTTTTATAAAGTATGCCCCTTACCAAATAAGGTGTTTTTGTTTCTCATACGTCCCCTGAAAAACCCAAAAACCTCTTGGGTATTTTTCATTTGGGGTTATTCCCCCGTGTATACAACAATATTCCAAACCAGGCCACTGCAAGCCCACAGAGTACAAAAACGGGGGGGTTTTTAAACCAAAAGCGTTTCCTCTTGCTCAGTATATATTTGCGGGAATGACAGTCTCCCTCGGGAACAAAATCAAAGACTCATCAATTACAAGACTCTTGAATGGATAAAAGTATATGCTTTAACTTTTGTTTGAAAAAAAATTTAAAACATTTTTAATCTTTTTAAACCCGTCCCCCTTCTGTAGGCCTGGTTTTGTCAGAGAAGTTTCAACATACCTAACAGTTTAAATAACCCGTTCACTGGGATGATTTTTATTGAAGGCCCGGGGGAGAAATTAGCCGTTTTGTGGGCCAGAAAGCTCTTATATTTTTGGCCCTTTTAGACATTGGGGGCATAAAACATTTTTGTTGCAAAAAGCAAAAAAACATTTCTGCAACAAATCGTCTTTTTTTCCCCCCTGTGTAGTTTGACTGTGGGGGAATGATTGTATTTCCCTGGTGAAACCAAAAAATTATTACTTTCCCGACATTGTTTCCATTTTAATGGCTGGGCAAAAAAAATAATTCAAAGAAAAACCCGTTCTTTTTGGGCCCGTTTTTCCCAAAGGGGTTAAAATAGGGAGAATTCCACTTTGAGAGTCCAAAGTGGGGGGTTGGGAAAAAAAATTGGGATTTGCTGGCCCAAACCCCGATATGGGTTTTTGGTGGATACTGGGCATATATGCTGGTTTTTTGGGAGGGGTTGTGGTTGTGGGGGTTTGGGGGCTGACGCTGCTTTGGGCCTGAAATGACGAGTCAGCCGCGTGGGGGCCCGCCCCCGGGGTGGGGAGTCACGCCCGGCGGTGCACACCACACCACTTTCCACCCTTTTACTGGGTTTCCTTTTGGTCTATCCATGCCAAGTGACCCCATCATCCTACTATCACTATCTAAACCTGGGTGTGGGGCCCCGGGGTGTACCCCCGTCCCCGGGACAGCATTTGGGTTTCACTACCTGAGTGCATCGGCGGCGTCAATTTCCGACGGGTTCACTGGTGAATAAGATTCCTCACTATCACAAATCGAAAGATCGCAAGCGCAAAAAATCACAATCCACGTCACTATCATCATCATTAAATGAAGTCCGAGGGGCCCGGCCAAGCGAAAATAATTTGTTTTCTCCCTTTCGTTGGGCAACAACCGGGCCGGGGAGGGCACGCGTGGCCCCCACCAGAGGTAGAAGGTGAGGATCGTCAGGGTTTTCCCGCCTTTTTATCGGGTATCCTGGTCAATCCTTTTTGGGCACTAACTGTTTAAAGGCCCTAGAATTCCCTTTTCCCTTTTTCCCTTCCATCAGTGTCAGAACTATAATAGGGGAGGAGAGTCCCAATTTTCCGGGGAGGGGAGCTGACTTGCGAAAGAGGGTGGTGAACAAGGGTAACTGAGCTGGCGTTTTTCCCCCCAATGCTATGTGGGGACCTAGATTTTTTTTTTTAAGGCGCACACCCCCCACGCAGCCCGGGCTTCACATGTGGCCTATGAGCGCTTTTACGCTAAATTTTTACGGGGCCCAAAAAATTTTGGCGTAGATCTACGGTTTTTGGGCACTCCCCGGGGGAAGCCTAATCTACGGGGCGGGGCCCTGAAAGGTTTTAAAGGGGTAGCGATTAAGCGATTGAAAAAAAGGGCGATCTAATGGGGTTTGCCCTTTCAAACACTCCATTTTTTTTGTTAAATTAAAAACATGGGAAGGTATCCAGAGGAGAAAGGGAAGGGTTTTCCGTGGGGGCCCTATTTCACCCCAAACAACAAATGGCTGTTGCCTCCACCTTTCCCCGAAAAATTTCTAACTACTTTTTTTATTCATTTTTTGTACATGTCATGTTTTTTTTGCTATTAAATTGTTTTTCATTGTAGATGAATTGTGTAGATAAATAAACCGTAGAGTTGATATTAGGGGAAAATTTTTGGAAAATTTTTATGGTGCCGGGAATTCCATGGGGAAAGAATTTTAAATTAAAAAACAAATTTTTTTTTAATGAGGAAAAAAATGAAATCTGCAACAGAGGGAAATTTTAATGAAAACAAGGTCACGGAACGGATTAAAAATCATTTTGGTTTGGGGGTTTTCCCCTGTTAAATATTCCAAAAACCAAAAAAAAATCTGACTCTGAAACCTTTGGTCCCGCATTTCAGATTTAAGGATTCTCCCAATTTTAATAGTGTAACAGGCATGCAGTCATTACCCGAGTAGTTAAACCCTGGACAGTGGACCCCCGCTTTCCGCCCAAACAATAACTTCAAAACCGCAACCGCCGCTTTTATCGAAAAAATTTGCCTCGCATACCGCTCAAAAAACCCTCACCGCTTCGTCCGAGACGGGGTCCAATGTGAAACCCTTAGCCAGCCTCACATGTGCCGCCGGTGGCATTGTTTACCAGCCACCTCTGCAGTAACATCCAAGCATACAATCGGAACATTTCGTATTATTACAGTTTTTTTTGGTGATTTTATCTGCAAAATAAGTGACCATGGGCCCCAAGAAAGCTTCTAGTGCCAACCCACAGCAATAAGGTGAGAATTACTATAGAGATGAAGAAAAAGATCATTGATAAGTATGAAAGTGGAGTGCGTGTCTCCGAGCTGGCCAGGTTGTATAATAAACCCCAATCAACCATCGCTACTATTGGTGGTACAGCTGCTGCTGCGCTGAAACCCCCGTCAGCTGCTGCTGCTGCACTGTCAGCTGCTGCTGCTGCTGTACCACCATCAGCTGCTGCTGCACTGTCAGCTGCTGCTGCTGCTGCTGTACCACCGTCAGCTGCTGCTGCTGCTGCTGCTGTACCACCGTCAGCTGCTGCTGCTGGCACTGTCTCTGCTGCTGCTGCACTGTCAGCTGCTGCTGCTGCTGCTGCTGTAGCACTGTCAGCTGCTGCTGCTGCTGCGTAGCACTGTCAGCTGCTGCTGCTGCTGTAGCACTGTCAACTGCTGTAGCAACCGTTGTTTTGGGGTGGCTTATTGAGAATACCAAGAAACAATTAACCCCAGAGGATTTTCCACCCAGGATAACCCAAAAAAGTCATGTCATCAAAGACTGTCTAACTTATTTCCATTTGGGGGCCTTAATCTTGTCTCCTAGATGCAACCCACCCCCAGTTCGCTAACACCCAGGTGAACAGGAAAAAATGCCGGAACAGTGCTCATATGGTGATTAAAGCCAGCAAAGGTTGGTTTGAGAGATTTAAGAATCGTATGGCATACACAGTGTGATAAGGCCTGTTCTGGAAGAAATGCCAAACAGGCCCTTTACAGTACTCAGGAGGAAAAGGCACTCCCAGGACACAGTGTCTCATCAGTCATTGCTGCATCTTCAATAAAGGTAAGTGTCATTTATTCTTCATTTAGTAGTAGAGTATTTACATGCACAATATATATTGTGCATGTACTACCACTATTTTTGCATGAAATCCTTCTCTTTGTGTGAGGAAAATTTTATATTTTTATGTGGTAAAATTTTTTTTTCATACTTTTGGATGTCTTGCACGGTTTAAATTTTGTTTTCCCTTTATTTTTTAAATGGGGAAAATTCATTCGCATATCGATCATTTCGCATAACAATGAGCCCTTTTGCACGGATTAAAGTCGCTATCGGGGGTCCACTGTACATTATGCCAACCCTGCTGGCCAAGATTTTTTAAAATACAGTGGACCCCCGGTTATAACGATATTTTTTCACTCCAGAAGTATGTTCAGGTGCCAGTACTGACCGAATTTCTTCCCATAAGAATATTGTGAAGTAGATTAGTCCATTTAGACCCCCAAACATACACGTACAAATGCACTTACATAAATACACTTACATAATTGGTCACATTCGTAGGTAATCGTTATGCGGGGTCCACTTTATATGAATGTATGGAAAAAGACCTAAAGAGTTATGCTGAAGTCAAAAAAATTGGCAGGTGGTAGTTTTGTGGGAACAAAAACTTGTGACACTACTACTTTTATGTACAACAGATGCATGATTTTAAATATTGATAAAAAGCATAACAGGATGATGTAAACACGCTTAGTCCATCACATTTACAACAGTTCACCAACCTTTTACTTGCTTGGGTTCCTACATAAATCACAAACTTTGTGCCTTCTTAGAATTTTTCCAACTTCCCATATTTTGTTTTCCCCAATTAACCACCAGGGGACTACATAGCCCTTTTGTAGGTTAGTATAGACAAGTACAAAGTAGATTGCTAATAATAAAAGAGTACATGCACTATAAACCAATTTTAGTCCAATAGTATTAAAATATAAACAAATTCAGCCCATTAATTCCCCAAATTTGATGCTTAAGTCTCCCTTTCTTCAATATACAGTTACCATACCTAAGCCAGGGGTCTTTCAATCCAGGGCGAGGAAAGGGCTCGTTAAACATCCATTAATTTGGGTACATTTTAAATTTTGTAATGCGCCATTTTGGTATCTTAATATCCCTTTTCCTCCCCCCACTGTGAAAACAAAAAGAAAAAAAAGGAAAGGGAATTTTAGCAGTAACCTCTTTCAATAAAAACTTGGCCATCTTTTAAATGTTGCATAATTAACCCTTTGACTTTTTTGGGTTCTTTATTATAATCTTACAAGCCCCATTTTTTGACGTATAAATACTCAAAAAAATTCTAGAGCTTCAAATCAAGCAGGAGAAAGCTGGGGGGGCCCACATGTGAAAAAAGGGTTCTGTGTGGTCAGGGGCCCACCACAAAAAAAAAAATTCCCTGCAGCCGCAGTCCCATAATGAAAAAAAAAAAAATTTTAAACCGTTTTTGGGTTTTAATTTAAAATCCCGGGACATTGGGGTTTCTATTTTTTTAGTATTTTGGTTTATTCTCGTTTTAAAGGGTGTGATGTTAAAAAGGGTTCCCTGCCCCCGGAATTTTTGTAAATACGGGAATTTTTTAAAACCCCAATCTTTATTTGCACAAACCCAAACTATAATTTAATGACTTTTTTAGGGCCCCAAGGTGGGCATTTATTACCCACTTGCCCTCCCTCCATGTATTTAAGGGTTTTTTTGGGCTATGGTGTGCAAACACTGTATAAAAAATTTTTTTTAAAAATAACAAACTTTTGGGGCAGTAATCAGCACCCGGGTAATCCCCCCTGAGGGTGGTCTTTCCCCCCCCCCCAAAACCCCCCCGGGGGGGGGTTTATCACCCCCAAAACCCCGGGGGGAAAAAAAAAAAACCCCCCCCCCGGGGGGAAAAAACCCCCCCCCGGGGTTTTGGGGAAAAACCCCAAAAGGGGGGGGGCCCCCCCCCCCCCCTGGGGGGCCTTTTTTTGGGGGCCCCCGGGGCCCCCCCCCCCCAAAAAAAAAGGGGGGGAAAAAACCCCCTTTCCGGGGGAAAAAAAAAGGGGGGAAGAACCCCCGGGGGGGGGGGGAAAAATTTTTCCCCCAAAAAAAACCCCCCTTTTTTTAACCCCCCCTTTTTTTTGGGGGGAATTTTTTGGGGGGGGGTTTTTTTTGGGTTTTCCTTTTTGGGGGGGCCCCCTTTTTTTGGGGGGGGGTTTTTATTTTTTTTATTTCCCCTTTTGGGGGGGGGGGTTTTTTTTTTTCCCCTTTTTTTTTTAAATTTTTTCCCCCCCCCCTTTTTTTTCAAATTTTTCCCCCCGGGGGGTTTTTTTTTTTTTTTTTTTCCTTTTTTTTTTTGGGTTTTCCCCTTTTTTTTTTTTTTTTTTTCCCCTTTTTTTTTTTCTTTTTTTTTTTTTTTTTCTTTAAAAAAATTTTTTTTTTTTTTTTTTTTTTTTTCTTTTTTAAACCCCCCTTTTTTTAATTTTTTTTTTCCCCTTTTTTTTTTTTTTTTTTTTTTTTTTTTTTTTTTTTTTTTTTTTTTTTTTCTTTTTTTTTTTTTTTTTTTTCCCCTTTTTTTTTTTTTTTTTTCCCCTTTTTTTTTTTTTTTTTTCCCCCCCTTTAATTTTTTTTTTTTTTTTTTTTTTCTTTTGGTTTTTTTTCCCTTTTTTTTTTTTTTTTTTTTTTTTTTTTTTTTTTTTTTTATTTTTTTTTTTTGGGTTTTTTTTTTTTTCCCCTTTTTTTTTTCTTTTTTTTTTTTGGTCCTTTTTTTTTTTTTTTCCTTTTGGGGTTTTTTTTTTTTTTTTTTTTTTTTTTTTTTTTTTTTTTTTTTTTTTTCTTTTTTTTTCCCCTTTTTTTTTTTTTTTTTTTTCCCTTTTTTTTTTTTTTTTTTTTTTTTTTTTCCCCCGGGGGGGTTTTTTTTTTTTTTTTTTTTTTTTTCCCCCCTTTTTTTTTTTTTTTTTTTTTTTTTTTTTTTTTTTGTTTTTTTTTTTTTTTTCCCCCTTTTTTTTTTTTTTTTTTTTTTTTTTTTTTTTTTTGTTTTTTTTTTTTTTTTTTTCCAAAGGGGTTTTTTTTTTTTTTTTTTAAAACCTTTTTTTTGGGGGGTTTTTTTTTTTTTTTTTTTTGGGTTTTTTTTTTTTTTTTTTTTTTTTTTTTTTTTTTTTCCTTTTTTTTCCTTTTTTTTTGTTTTTTTTTTTTTTTTTCCCCCCCTTTTTTTTTAAACCCCCTTTTCCCCCCAAAAACCCCCCCCCAAGGGGGAAAAAGGGGCCCTTTTTAAAAAAATTTTTTTAGGGAAAAAAAAAGGGGCCTAAAATTTTTTTTTCCCCCCCCCCCCTTTTTTTTCCAAAACCCCAAAAAATTTTTTTTTCCCAAAAACCCGGGGAAAAAAAATTTTTTCCCCCAAAAAGGGGGGGGAAATTTTTTTTTTTAAAAATTTTTTTTGCTTTTTTTTAAAAATTTTTTTTTTGGGTTTTTTTTTTTAAAAAAGGGTTTTTTTTTTAAAAAAATTTTTTTAATTTTTTTTTCCCCCCAAAAATTTTTTGGGGGGGGGGGGGGGGAAAAAAAACCCCCGGGTTGGTTTTCCCAAAAAAAAATTTTTTTTTTTTTTGGGTTTGGGGGGGGGGTTTTTGGGGCCCCCTTTTTTTTTTTCCCAAAAATTTTTTTTTTTTCTTTTTTTCGGGGGAAAAAAAAAATTTAATTAAAAAAATTTTTAAAAAAGAAAAAGGGGGGGGGGTTTTGCCCGGGGGAAAAGGGGGGTTTTTTTTTTTTGGGGGGAAATTTTTTCCCCCAAACAAACCCCCCCAAAAAAATTTTTTTGGGGGGGGGGTTTTTTTAAAGGGGTTTTTTTTTTTTTAATTTTTTTTTTTTTTGGGCCCCCCCTTAAAATTTTTTTTTAAAAATTTTGGGAAAACCCCCCTTTTTTTTTTTTTTTCCCCCGGGGGGGGGTTTTCCCTTTAAAAAACCCAAAAAAAAGGCCCCCCCCCAAAGGGGGGCCGGTTTAAAACCCCAAAACCCGGTCTTTTTTGGGGTTGACTAAAACCTCACTTGATGTGTTTTTAATGACTCGGGTCTCAAAGGGAGTAATACTTGGGTCAAGATACTTTAATATAAAAGTTTTGTTCAAAGATGACAAAATATGGTTTACGGTGCCCCGTGGCCGGTGACTACAGCTCTCGTTCCCCGGCGAGGCGAGGGTTTCTGGGCTCGATTCCCAGCGAGGGTAGAAACATTGGGCTTGTTTCGTTACACTGGATGTCCATGTCACCCATCAGTAAAATGGGTACCTGGGTATTAGTGGACTGTGTGGGTCGCATCCTGGACAAAACTGACCTAATTTGCCCAATATGCTCTGCATAACAAAGGATTTTCTATATAGTATATGTCATGATGTCAGCAAGGACTGTATACCTTGTACTTTGTAGATTATTATTATAATCAAAGGAGAAAGCGCTAAACCCGGCGGATTAACAGCGCCTGGGGGGAGGATGTGGAAGGCATTCATGTTTAAATTCGGGGAACTGGAGCACAGTTCCAATTCCTAAATCAAGACCCCCTCACCAACATCAAGGAAACCCTTTCCTTGAGGGGTTGTACATGTAGAAATAAAGATATTATTATTATTATTATTATTATTATAATGACCCTCGATTTTACCAATTTTGTGGTCCCCGGAATTATATTTAGGAAGAATCCCCTAACCTTTTAGGGTCCTTGGGCATCCTGACAAGGGAGATAAAATCGGAACCATAAAAGGGAAGGACACAAATCCAATTCCTCGGATCAAGGTTTCCCCTCACGAAGCGGCGGCCCCCGGGTTAAACATCCACCAAACCATCATGCATAAAACATCCATTTAACCCCAAACCCTCTAAGCCACTGTTGTCAGCACTATAATAATAAAGTATCAATGGTACATATAGCAGAAAAATAATAATGTAGGACAGTAATGGTTCACCTCACTAGTACTGCCTCCACCTTCCCACAATATTACCTCAACAACAACAAAAAACAACAACAAAAACAACAACAACACAGAAAACGATCACCAGAGTAGCTAAACTCAACTAAAAAATAAATTATTTTGGAGCATTGCACACATTCAAGTTTATTCTCTATAAGGGTTACAATGTGGGGTTTACAGGTTTTTGGGTATTGTGTGGTTTACATGTTATAAATACTAATTACAGAGGGGGCCACTAGGACACCTAGCATGGTTTGGCATTTGTGTGATGGGATCCATAGTAATTGTACATTAATTCCTTTGTCCCTAATTTTTGAGTATCAAAACCTGGCTTCTCCAATGACATGTTGTTGGAGTCATTTTTGTGAGTCAAGAGCCTTCAAAGATGACATAGAATCAGTAATGATGATAGAGTCAAGCTCAGTGTCATAGGTTAGCTTTAGCGCCATTAGGATTGCAAACAATTCAGTTTGCAGTGTAGACGTCCAATTGTTAATTCTTATGCCTAACCACAAATTTATTATCGTACTTAACTAGGGAGGTGGCAACAAGAGCAGATGCAGCCCTGCCAGAAGACTCCTGTTTAGATCCATCAGTGTATATAACTTGGATAACTTATTACTACCAGCTAGGTGAGAAATTTCTTCTTGAGCAGTTGCACTAACAAGAGATTTTAAGGAAGGGATTACTAGCAATGAGCTTCTTGGAGGGAACTTGTAGGTATGTGATATTAAATGACACATCTTCCATGGAGGGGTGAAATGCTCTTGTGCCTACAGTGATACAGTTCATGCAGGTATAATAACTTAATCAATTGCAGTTTTCACAATCCATTTAGATCTGTGTGTATTTACCTCTAGACACTTGGTAAGATTCATTGTGACAGTGTCTGGTTCGTTTCTCAACATTCTAATACCGAGTACAGTGTTAATCTCAACAATCCTATCACTGATACTAGAATATAACTTTGGTATAACTGTGTCTAGCATTAGGAATAATATTAGGAGAGAAGTAAATAATGAAAATGATTGTTATAGGAATGCAGTTAGAAGCCTGAGTAGATCTATAACCCACTATGATAACATGAACGTAGATAAGTATGTTTA